AAAAAAAAAAAAAAAGGACCCATAATCCCACCACATAGAGTCAATCACTGTTAACATGTTTGTATATTTCCTCCCCGTCTTGTGGCTCTCCTTTTTTTTCTTTAACCAGTTGAGATCACTGACATAACCATGTGAATCCAGGATGCACCTGAGCTCCAGAGTCGGCAGTGTGGGTGCTGCTGGTCTTGCGGTGTCTGTGTCCGTTATCACGGCTCAGAGATCCTGTTTCCCCAGCTACAAAACGAAAGCAACAAAAATATGAGCTGTTCACATCTCCCACTTAGTAGCCATTCAGAGGTGAATGAGATCCGACCAGTCAAACTCTCAGGAAGCAGAAGCACCATCACGACAGCAGTCTGTGCTGGGTTCGCTCAGCACACGTACTGAAATCAGTATATTATTGAGGATCCTTTCTCTTCTGTTCCTTTCTCTTGCCAGAGCGAATCTTTGTAATTTTGTGTATAGCCTGGGGTTGCAGAACAGCAGTGAAGGACTGACTGGTATATATAGGTCTTAGATAACCAAGACTGGCTTTGGGCCAGTCCCGCAGTCCTTACTGGGCCACTCAAAGACTGGCATCCACACCCCTTTATGTGTTAGCAGCTCAGAAATTTACCTCATCGTCCAAACACCACAGCCAGTCTGTCATTGTTAAAACTCCATCATTTCTGGGGTGCCTGGGTGGCTCAGTCGTTAAGCGTCTGCCTTCAACTCAGATCATGATCCTGGGGTCCTGGGATCGAGCCCCGCTTCGGGCTCCCCTGCTTGGCAGGAAGCCTGCTTCTCCCTCTCCCACTCCCCCTGCTGGTGTTCCCTCTCTCCCTGTGTCTCTCTCTGTCAACTAAATAAAATCTTAAAGAAAAAAACCCTCCATCATTTCTGTGCTTAAGAATCCTAAGCCTTTGGAAGCACGTGACGGGACGCTGATTTTCAGACATATACAATTCAGTGTGGCACGCAGCGGTCTTTGACCTATTTGTTTATGTGTTAGCTATGTTGAGAAAGCTGCTATCGAGATTTACCGCTGGGATTTTTACTTGCTTTTCTGGTTCCTGGTTGGCTCTGCTTAGAAACCCTCAGAGTCCACAGACGTTGCCTCCCCCAAGACCCCGGGTAACAGCGGCTCAGTGCCCCTCGAAGACATTCACAGGGAGGCCCAAGTCTCGGCTGCAGAGGAGGCTTCAGGAAAGGCCACGGTCAACTGCTTCATTTCTTCTGAGTGGGGAAATCCTTCGAGAGACACAGAGATAGAAAAGTCTTCAAAAGAAAATGAAAGCACCAAAGAGCCCTCTTTGCTGCAGTACCTTTATGTGCAGTCGCCAGCTGGTAAGGGGTGTCATCGTGTCTGAGGGCCCCTCGGGGTGGTCAGATCATCAATTAGATTTCTACATTTCTGTCCATGCCACCCGACCGAAGCGGTTCGTCAGTGAGCTGCTGTCTACACGGCCTCTGAACCGTTTTACTCTCAGCCCTTTCTTTTCTCCCATCTATGAAAAGAAGGTAGAGGCTGCTTTCACTTCGGCCACCTCGAAGGACACTGTGAAAATAATTAGGGCAGGTGATTTTTTTTAAATGCATTAAACTTTATTTGCTAACAAAGCACCGTTCAAAAGATCATTCTCTTATTATAATTGGGCTGAATCTGGCATTGGTTCAGTTTACGGAACAGTATGAACCTACTGGCCACCATGGACAGCTAGCGTGGTGTCTTGAATATCCAGAGGTACGTGGTCGAGGGCCAGGTCTGGAGAGGGCTGGGCGTTAGGGCCCCTTATTACCTGCATGAACGTAAGTATTCAGCCATCCCCACTGGTACAGCAGGACTGACAAGGCACTGGTGTCATGGGGGTGCTTTCAAAACGGAACTAAATTTTATAAGGTAATACACCTAAAGCACTTCGGATAACAGTGCCTGACAGTAAGACTCAAACGCCGTCAGGATTTCGAAATAAAGCTGAAATAGAAGAGATCCCTAATTTCTCAGACACACGTTGTGTACATAAAGCTGCTCTCGATGCAGAGAGACTTAAATCGATTTTCCTGAATTTTCCATTCACTTACAGGTTAGGTAGGTGTTATTATTCAGTTATCTACAAAACATTCTTTATTCCATTAGCAAATACTTTTTGCGGATTTAAGGTAAGCATGACAGGGGTGCAGATACACTGATAAACAAGAAACAGGCTCAGTCCCGACTGAATGAAAATGACAGCCCAGCACAGGGAGTATTAGCTTTTTCTGGGCCAAAGACCTATTGACACTATGGTAAAACCCATGGATTCCTCCTCAGAATGTTTAAAAAAAAAAAAACGCATAGAATTAAATACATAGGATAATAAGGGAAGCCAATTATATTGAAATACCGTTAGAAAAAATTTTTTTAAGTTATAGTAATAAAAAGATCTGACAGTAGTTCCAGTGTTCTCATAATTTCAAAGTCATAATGCGCTTCACGATCTAATAAGAATCTGCTGTAGCTATAATGTTATATGAATATATGTGTGCTTTTTACTAGTGACAAAGTCAAGGTACTATTAATACTGTTGGATTTGTTGCCTGTGATCCAAGTTGAGGGAAATACAAATTTGTTAGAAGTTTATAAAAACAAAAGATAAAATCTTTCCAATCCAAGTTCACTTCCCTCCTCAATTTGCATTCAGTGGAACACACATTAATTGACCCTCTCAGGAGACACAGGCATCCACCACATTATCACACAAGTGGATGTGAGACTTCACTGGTGGCCACTGCTGGGGAGAAGCAGTGCAGAGCGGGGAGAGCATGGGAAGGGGGTTGGCCTGGTCAGGTAGAATCCATTCATTGTGGGTTCCCACTTGGAAGGGCGGCAGGGGAATGTGAAACTGTTATGGTACCTCCTGTTGTGTTGACGGTCACCTTGGTCTGCTTCTGTTTCAGGATTAAATGGTTTCAATGTGCTCTTATCTGGCAGTCAGAACCCCCATGCCGTGGGACCCCCTTCAGGTCAGCTGCCATCCCTCAGCATTCCTTGCATGGTCTTACCATCTCCGACGCTGGGCCCTTTCCCCGTTCTCTATTCTCCCACTATGCCCAGGCCGCTTTCCTCTGCCCCTGGTGCTCTCCCAAATGCGGGACCTGTGAATTTTGGCTTGCCTGGCCTTGGATCAACAGCTCATCTTCTCATCGGCCCTGCAAACATGGTTAATCCAAAATCATCAGCACTCCCCTCCGCAGACCCTCAGCTTCAGGGTGCCCACTCACTCAATCTGAGTCCAGAGATGCCAAGATCACACAACATCATCCAGCCTGAATCCCCTGCGTATGCGGGGCATCCTGTCTCCGTAGTAAAATTACAACAGGTGAGTCCTGCTGTGAGCCCAGGAAGATCATCATTCTGTGATGGGGTCAGTATGCATTTCATGAGCTTTGCTTTTAGTCCCATGACTGCAGGACAGAAGCTCCAGGTCAGGGTCTATCCAGCTTCTGTTGTAGACCCAGAAGTTATCTGCTTACTTTATAAGGCATGGAGGCTGGAGGCAGGAGATGCTGTGCTTTAAAGACAAAAATATTTTTTAGTTGTCCATCTGTTCCTTAAAATTAGAAGGACTTATTTTAAGGATAGTTCAAGGGACTATTGATGAATGCTGAATATTCAGATGATTTCTTCAGGTTTTCATTTCATTAGATGAATAAAAGGAGAGCACCCTGAATTTTCATTGTACAGCTATAGAAACAATTCAGGGAAACAGAAGTCTGGATACTAATGCAAAGATTCCTAGCATCTGTCATTTCTCAAAATGCAATGTTTAGGAGAGTATATATATATATATATATATATATATACACACACACACACACACATACTCAAACACACAAATGTACATATATGAATTTTATAATCAATATTAACTAATCAGTACTATATTTCCCCCAAACTCCCATTTGTAGTTCAGTCAGTAAGCATGTGTTGATTTCCTCTTATGCCTCAGGCATTGTTCAGAGTGGTTACTTTCTCTCATGGAGAAAGAGTTTTGCGTTGTGGCCAAAAATATTTTAGACAAGTTAATCAGAGGCTCACAAGTTTGCTAGATGATGAAATTAAACATGCTAGTTTTTAAACTAAGGTGATGTAATGTGACATGCTTTCCGATCACCAGTTATGTGCCAGGCACTCATGCAGGCAGTGAAGATAGGACAGTAAACAGAATAATGGTCCCTGCTCTTTTAGGGCACATTAAGGAGATCAATATGCAACATTTAACACAAGAAGATACATAGTTGCAAGTAAACAAAAGAGCCAGGACGCACATACTTACTGCTTGCGTAGTCCACCGTGCTCTATAAATATTACCTTTTCTAATTGGTGCAGCCCTGTGAAAGTCGTCACTTTGTCACCCACATTGTATGGATGAAAAACACCGAGGGACAGTGTGGTTAAGTAGCCTGCCCAAGGTCACCCAGCTAGATGTGCCAGTGCCACGCTCCCAACCTCTTCACTAGGCTGCCTTTCTGCACACAAAACAAAGAAGTGAATTTCCAGTTGTGAGAATTGTTGGGGAGGAGATAAAGCAGATGATTGGGACAGAAAAGCAGAAAGAAGGAGAACGCCTGCATCAAGATCATACTGACAGAGGTCAAGAAAGGGCTTAGTTCGGAGACCGAGAACAGTTTGACTTCACTTCTGTTTTTACTTACTCTTTTAGTCCCCCGTTCCTGGGACCCCCAAGAGCATCCGATGCACACATCGTGAGACATTTTTCAAGACACCTGGCAGCCTCGGAGACCCCGTCCTTAGAAGAGAAAGGAATCCGACACGAAACACCAGCTCAGCGCAGAGGAGACTGGAAATCCCCAGCAGCGAGGCTGACTAACCTGCCGCCGGGCCAGGCCGGGGTGGGGGGCCACCCACCTGACTTTCCCCGTCCCAGGTGATGCCCTGATGCTGAATGCAAAGCGGGACGCAGACCATCATCTGCACACATCGTCCTCTCTCTTTCACCTACCGGTTCTAATGTTAACTTCCCATCATCATGAATCATCTATTTTCCTGAAAGCAATTGTTATTAATTGTGCATTTAATATCAGTTAGAGTCCAGACTCTGTGCGTGGTGTCACAGTGAAAGCACCGACTGACTTGTGGTTTTGATTCAAGAATCCTCTTATTGCTGGAAGTCGATCTGAACAGGCTACTGGAGCCTTGTGGTTTTTCTACTGGGGGAGCTGTCTAGCACTTAACTAGGGTGAGCATTCTTGGCAGGTTTTTCCCCCTCGCCCTGAGTCTAGATCTGTGGTGAGAGAAACTTCTTTTCTGCAGTTTAAAAAAGCTACTGCTTCCTTAGGCTTCATCAGGAAGCCGACTCCAGTTGTGAATCCTATGGTATTATTTATTTTGTTCCTGAAATGGGATTTAGTGCAAAAAGTTTACAACTACAGCAAAATACATGTTTTTCAGGGTATGACGACTTGAATGTTTGTGCTTTTTTCCTCTAATTTGCCCTGCACTTACTTTACAACCTACTAATAATGTGGATAAATGTGTATGCATGACCGAATGTTACGACCAAAATAACTGTGAATGGCCCACTTGCTATAATGAACTGTGCTGAGCCTGTCTGGGCATGAGAAGCAAGATGCATGCTAGCTGCCTAAGAGCTGACCTGTGTGAACAATGAGGTTTTACTGTTCATTTGTAAAAATCCTACCCTGTGCGGTTTTCTTCACTATGTGCCCCGTGGATTTTTTATTTAAACGTTAACTGTAGAGTATCAGGTATGGATGCCTTCAAAGAATTGCTGTCTTATTGAATAAATCAGGATGGTAGCAAGTGATTGATTATATGGAAAATTGGAACCTGGATGGGACCTTTTGGTAGAATTCTGAAGAGTAATGATGTAGAAATTGATATAGTTCTGATAGGTGATCATTATATTTTTTCCTTTGGCTTTTTTCTTTATTTGTGGAAGGGTAAGAGGGAAAACGAACACATTATGTTCAGTATCCAAGAGTATTCAAACCAGTTATTTTTCGGAGCGTTTCTGAAAAATAAGAACGGTGAGTGCAGGGATTCATTGTTCTAGCATGAGTACAATTCTGGAAACTATTATGCAATACCCCTTTGTTAAACCATATTGCTTTAGGATTTCAGTAAGTAGACAAACTAGCTCTTTGTATTCCTAGATTTATTGATGTACCTCATTCTTGTCTCTTCCAGCAAATGCCTTCCTCTCTCCCTTTTTTCCTTCCCTCCTTCCTTTCTTCATTCCTTTCTTTTTTAAGCTTCTGTCTTCGATCTGGAATCTTGGTGTACAATTCTATTTTATTTTTATTTTCGGACCCAATAAAATGTTATATGAAATAAAAATATTAATTTAAGAGACTCTGGGAGTCTGAGTAAAGTAGCTTTATATTAACTACAGGATACTATTAGCCTTATTACCCCCACAAGATTTTTGAAAACTTGAGGTAGGTAGCCTGATTAAATAAATTTGTTATTATATAAAATTTTTATCAACGCTAAACTTTTAAAGTTTACAAGATGGCATTTTTTCTTTTATTTTTTTTTTACAATCTTTTCTAGTGTTAAACAGATAAAATTATGGTTCTAATCATCAACAACCTCCCAGTAATGGTTACCCAGAGTTAATATGAGGAGTTCACCTCGAAACAAAAATATGCCTTTTTCAGTGAAAGTATAGGACACACAGCATCCTTATCCACACAGGGTACGTGCATGTTTAAATCCACCATGCCTAAAAACTTCCACAAAATATTTTCACTCGAGAGGTCTACATTTAGATGAAATCACAATCTGATTTTCCCCACACTGTTTTTGGATGCTTGCCACTTACTACTTTAACTTCTTTGCTATCCTTTTTTTTTTTCACTCTGTTCATGATATGACCATATAAACCTCAGAGAATCCACAGTTCTTGAGGGGTGTTAAGAAGCAACCCCATAAATCAGAATTTTATGACTCTGTGACCATACTCAGCAACAGAAAAGAAAACGGAGAACCAATTCCTTTTGTATTCAGTACCCACTTTTTAATGTGGCTTTGTGATGTGTAAAAAGATAAAAATAAAATAATGCAGGGGTTGTTTCTGTCAGGAAAACCGTATGCTTCTGATAGAGCAACTGATGGTAGTGAAGCTGCTAAGCTAGACTTGGGTATTCGGGGTAGTGAAGAAGTAATGGCAATCTTGAGTCTATCATTGTATAACTTAGTAACAGACAAAAATAATTGTTGGGGATCCTGCTAAGGAAATTCAGCTTTGCGTTGGCACTGAGGGACGTGTGTGTGCCCTACACTGTCCAGGGTTTGTGAAACCCTTTCATTCTGGTACAAGAGTTGGGAGTATAACTTTTATACTTGAATCTACCTACCAAGTTTACATATTTCTCAATTCTTTTTTGTAAGGTGCTATTTCTGTATTTAAATAACTTTTTTTTTTCAATGTAAAGCTGCTTTCAGCTAATCTTATTGCACTGCTAGTTTTTTGTAGGTATTAATTTTATTGCTGCTTACTGCTTTTGTCTTCATACTATTTAGCTCTGCCCTTTTTTTCTCATGGCTATATTATCTATAGCTATCTACTTGTAACTTTACTACATGTAAACTGATTTTTTTTTCTTTTAGAAAGATATTAAGCTTTATAAAATAGCAATAAAAATTAATTCATTTCACAAGAGATGTTGGTTGTATTTGTTGGTAGGCCATGTGTACCAATTTCAGCAAAATCTTTAACAGTTGCAGCATAGCAAACCAGGCCCTCATAAACCCAAACCAGATCTTTTTATTGAGACCTCCCGGTAGTTCCCAAACACCAAAACTTAATGTGTCAGAATTACACAGGAGCTTGAAAGGGTAGGAGGACGATGCTCTGGAGCTTCTGATTTCTACTGAGTCAGCATCTCAGGTTCGGAGCTTCCGGATGATTCTGAGGTGATGTGAAATCACCTGAAATGAATCATCTGAAGTGATGATTATCCACTTCTAAGAATCACAGGTGAATGGAGACCACTTCTCCAACTTTTCATGACATCTGCAAGGTTAAATGCTTCTCATTCTAGCAAATGCCTACCCTTAGTTCAGAGCCAAATTCTATCGTTAACCCTCACTTTCAAATTAACCTCCGAACAGACGTCATCTGATTTTCCCTACTTTGTTATACTTGCAGAGTCATTTAGGTTACGTTGGTGTTGGTTCCTCCCGCTAAATTCTGAGGTGCTAGGGAAAGCACTAGCTTTGAAATCCAGCATCAAACCCAGTCTGGGAACTCAGCAGCCCCCAAAATGGTGAACGGAGGAGCTATAGGACCCCGTACAACAGGGCTTGCCCTTTCGCTAGGGCTGTTCAATTCAGCTCTCGCCAATCATTTTACCGTGACCTCTTCCTTCCGACACATCACTTCCTGTCCCAGTCCATAGCCTCCCTTCTCACAAGGCATATACAGTTGACCTTTGAACACCACGGGGTTTAAGGGGCGCCGACCCCTGTGCAGGAAAAGTCCAGCATAACTGACTCCCCAAAAACATAACTTCTAATAGCCTACTGTTGACCAGAAGCTCTACCAATAACAACGCATTTTATATAAGTACTGTATATTGTATTCTTACAATAAAGCTAAAGAAAATGTTAAGAAAATCATAAGAGAAAATACATTTACAGTACTGTATATATCGAAAAAAGTCCATGTAAGTGGACCTGCACCGTCCAAACCCATGTCATTCAAGGGCCAACTGTATGAGATAACTCAGGATAAATCTGCTTCTACACAAACACCAGTATTAGGATCTCACTAGCATACCTTTAGCGGTATATTATAATATGGGGTCATGCTGTTATTACAGGCATCTACCAATATCTTCTCCCATCCGCCCCTCCTTGTCGGTCTTTAATGGTGTAAGTACACTGAACAAGCAGGACTCATGAGGTGATCATGAAAGCAATTTTGTCTCCTGGTGTTCCTTTTAGGCCTGGTCAACAGGGGTAACCCATTCACCCCTGTATGAACTTTAGGTCAGGTGCTGTGACTTCTCTAGTTACTGTCAATAACAGAAATTCTACATTTTAAGTTACAAAGACAGTCTCAATTTATTATGCAAATGAGCATTTAAAACTTCTGCACCTGGGGCTCAAGCTGAGCAAGGAGGGCATGGATGGATCGTTGTTTCTACTGAGCATTTCCCCTTCCTCGGCGTGCTTGCCTAGATTTCTAACCCCAGCAATGTCAAAGCGTGGAGACATTTGCCTGAACTTCCTGTGATGCAGGCAATATTTTCCTCCAGCTACTATTCTCCTTCTGTCTCTGGCTTTCTTGCAGTCCATTCCACACAGGCTCTTGGGCGGGATTTACAACAGTCCCAGGCTGGCTCTGTCTGCCATTAGCCCACCTGCTGTGTCCTTTGCCCTGATTCTTGGAGAGAAGCCCCAGCCAAACTCATAGCAGCATCTCTCTTTTGCTGCCGGAGATGCTGGCTCCCCCGCAACCCCTACATCAGCCAGAGTCACAGCGAGAGAGGGAACAAAAGCAGGGGGAGAGGGAGAGGGAGAAGCAGGCTCCCCGCAGAGCAGGGAGCCCGAAGCGGGGCTCGATCCCAGGACCCTGGGATCATGACCTGAGCCGAAGGCAGACGCTTAACGACTGAGGCACCCGGGCGCCCTATATAAAACTTTTAAACTGGTTTGATAGTGGGACCGTTTTTTGTTTTTTGTTTTTCTCTTAGAGTAATGTACAAAACTATAGTTTGGCAAAAGTTACTTTGAGAAGCAATAAATTAATCTACCAAACTCTCTAAAACTTTCTTAGTCTTCACTGAAAAGAGAAGGGATCAATATTAGCTTCTTAAAGTCAGAGACCAGAGATTATTTATATCTGTATTCACAGTGTCTTCCACAAAATGTGCAACCAATAAAAAATGGGAAAGAGCATTGGAGGATGAGTTACCACAAATTATTAAAAAGAAAAAAAAAAATACCTTTGAAGGCTTTTTCATTGCATGGTTCTAGGTACCGAAGAGTTGTTGAGTACATAATTGTAGTATAGCTTGTTGTGTTTTTTCTTTTTTTAGTTATTTATTTTTTAGATTTTATTTATTTGAGAGAGAGAGAGAAAGCACACGCGGGGGGGGTGACAGAGGGGGGGTTAAAGGGGGAGGGGGAGAATCCCAAGCAGACTCTGAGCCAAGCACGGGGCCCAATGCGGGTCTCGATCCCACAACCCTGAGACCATGACCTGAGCGAAATCAGTAGTCAGATACTCAACTAACTGAGCCACCCAGGGGCCCCTCTTTTTTAGTTTAAAAGAATGGCCTCTACCATGCCATCAATGCTTATAAAATAAATTGAATTGTTGTAACTCTGCTTCTGAGCTTTCAAGAGCATCCCATGCAGCATTTTCCTGACCCTTTTAGGGTGGCTTTCTAGTCCCTTCACAGTCTGGCCCCAGCTTGCCCACACAGCTATGCTAGAAATGGTCTATTCACCCTCACGTTCACTTCTACTCCTCTTCCAGGTTCTTTATCACAGGTTCTGAAAGCCTGGGAACTACATTTCTCACATCCGCTTGCTACCAGATTCCAGCTGTGATTCTGTCAGTTATAAATACTCTCATGCAGGACTTGGTAGAGAGCAGAGCAGCTGGGGCTATTCTTCCTGAAGCAC